TAGGGGGGTTTAGGGTTCGGGGTTTAGGGACAGGCCCAGAGCATCAGGCCTGTTGGGAATGCAGGGCCTTCGAACTTTAAGGACCTTTGCCTATAAGCCCAATGTGCTTCCTTGTTCAGTGTTTTGGTCAGTGAGTGCCGTGGTTTGCGTCTTTTCTTATGGAAATAAGGCAGCCAGCAACAAGGTAGCACAACGGAGGGTACAAGTAGAGATCGTTTACCTGTAGCCCACTTTCTTAGCTTCGGAATTCCCTAAAGAGGTAGTTTTTTTAAACAAGGGCTTGAGGGTGATTGGAGTGTCTCCAGCGATTAGGGCTTCAGGGCTGTGAGGGCTTAGAGCTTACTGGGCTTTGGAGTTGTTGGGAGCTTTTGGTTCAGGGCTTCATGGTTTTTGGAGATTAGGCTATGGCAGGGGCGCTGTTAGTGTAGAGATTATTTACGGTTCAGGCTTGAAGGTGTATCAGAGCCTGAGGCCAGAGTTTAGGCAGTAATTATTGGAGTTTGGTACCATGTTTGGAGCTAACCCCTAAACCCCTTAAAACAAATCAAACCCCTAGACCCCTAAACCCTTAAACCCCTAGACCCCAACCCCAAAACCCCCTGAGACCCCTATAAACCCTCAACCCCAATGCTCCGCGTTCTTGTTGATGCTGCCGTCAGGTGCCTTCGTACTCCACGCAGATCGCAATGGCCACTCTGGCCACCGGGCTGCTATGGGTGCCTTAAGGCCTCAAGGTCTGGGTTTAGGGTGTGGGCTTCAGGGTTTGCGGTTTAGTGTTAATTTTGGGGTTTAGGGTTCAGGGTTCAGGGTTTACGGTTTGGTCCAAAAACGGTTTGGGATGTATTCAGGGTTTAGGGCTAAGGGCCGACTAGGACTAGGGCCGTGTAGGGTTCAGAGTTTGCCCAGGGTTTAGGGGTTAGGGTGTAGGTAATGACTCTACGTAATATTTTATGTGGAATGATTCAGAGGACAGCTACACTAGGATGCTGCGCACAGGGTTCAGACATGTTGCGAAGCACCCCGAGGTTCCAGCGGTGTCATGATAGCAGTAGGTTCCAAGGCCTTCGGGCTGGCTTGCTCCATTTTCGAGCTTAGTTGTGGACAGCGCTTGGGGTTGCAATAGCGAAACTCGTGGGCTTGAGGGAGCTTCGGGTTTAGGTCGGCGTCTTGGGCTATGGGAGGTCCCGGGCATAAGCCGCTTAGCTTTGAGCCATACAGAAGTCCGAGAGGCTTCGTCCCGAAGCCTCAGGTACCGCGACATTTGCATGTCTTGCATTCACATTCTGGCAGTGGATATCGCCAGTGTCAAGCAGCAAATCTACAGCCTGGATGGGGTCTCAGCCCAGCAAGCTCTCGACATAGGATGCTGACGGCCATTGCCATTGCAGG